TTGAGGATGTGGTGTTGGGTTTGGAGGGATATTTGGGGTCTGTTTGGGGTTTCCCATGGGGAAAACAGGCAGCTTGAGCCTCAAGGTAGTGATGTTGGATTGGGGGGATATTTGGGGATCTTTGGGGTTCCCCGTAGGGCAAATGGGCAGCTTGAGCCTTGAGGATGTGGTGTTGGGTTTGGGGGGATATTTGGGGGATCTTTGGGGTCCACATGGGGGAAAAACAACAGCTTGAGCCTTGAGGATGAGGTGTTGGGTTTGGGGGGATATTTGGGGGATCTTTGGGGTCCCCATAGGGGAAAAGCAACAACTTGAGTCTCGAGGTGGTGCTGTTGGGTTCAGGGGTTATTTGGGGTCTCTTTGGGGTCCCCATGGGGGAAAAATGGGCAGCTTGAGCCTTGAGGATGTGGTGTTGGGTTTGGAGGGATATTTGGGGGATCTTTGGTGTCCCCATGGGGGAAAACCAACAGATTGAGTCTCGAGGTGGTGCTGTTGGGTTTGGGGGGATATTTGGGGTCTGTTTGGGGTTTCCTTTGGGATAAAACAGGCAGCTTGAGCCTCAAGGTGGTGATGTTGGACTGGGGGAATATTTGGGGATCTTTGGGGTTCCCGATGGGGGAAACAAGCAGCTTGAGGACGTGGTGTTGGGTTTGGGAGGATATATGGGGTCTGTTTGGGGTTCCCCATGGGGGAAAACCAACAGATTGAGTCTCGAGGTGTTGGTGTTGGGTTTGGGGGGATATTTGGGGATCTTTGGGCTTCCCCATGGGGGAAACGAGCTGCTTGAGCCTTGAGGATGTGATGTTGGGTTTGGGGGGATATTTGGGGAATCTTTGGGGGCCCCATAGGAGAAAACCAACAACTTGAGCCTTGAGGATGAGGTGTTGGGTTTGGGGGGATCTTCGGGGGATCTTTGGGGTACCCTATAGTGGAAAACAGACGGCTTGAGCTCGTGCCACCCATCCCCCTCCATCCTTGTGCTCCACCTCCATGGTGTGGCCACCCCATCCCATCCCATCCCATCCCATCCCACCTCCATCCCATCCCCATCCCCATCTCCATCCTCATCCCATCCACCCCATCCTCCCCAACCCATCCCATCCCCATCTCCATCCCCGTCCCCATCCCCATCTTCTTCCCATCCACCCCATCCCATCCCACCTCACTCCATCCCATCCCA